AAGAATATCCCTCGTGCCCCGATCCTTAATAAAAAGATCAAAAGGATGAAATTCACAAAGCACATTATTATCACGTGTAAGTTTAGGAACAGAAAGGAGATTACGTGTCACAGAGGGAACTCTAAGCACATTACGAAGTTGAAGACTCCTATTTGCATGCCTAGTGAGAAGAGATGTTTGACCAATATGAGATATATGCATACCTGCTCCATTGGCGGTGTGGATCTTGTCGGAGCCGTGGTAGGGTTCGCGAGTATGGAGCTTGCCCATCTCACTCGTCAGATGCTCCGTGGCCCCAGAGTCCATGTACCAGTGGGGATCAACAGAGTAGGACTGAGTGTGCCCTTGCTGTTTTGTGGACACTGACCGATCTGCCATGGCCACCTGACGCGCAAAGTTGTGCGTGTCCTTGCCATCATTGCCGAGACCCAGAAAACTCTTCTGAAAGCGTTTGTGTCACTTAGAGGACCAGTGCCCTTCAATGCCACAGAGCTGACACACGCGCTTACCGCCAGCCCCTGGTAATGTCGCGGTAGCAGGGGGGCCGAGGCAGGCAGCGGCGGTAGCCCCGAAGGGGTCCGAGATGATGAAGAAGGGCGGCCACCCTTGGTGGCGGCGTTGGCCGAGAGGGAGCCCACACTGACCTTGGAGCGGCACGACTCAACCCGTTGTTCCGTGAGAAGGAGACGGGAAAAGATCTCATGCGCCATCATGGGGTTCGAGTTACCCCGCTCGTTGATGATCTCGACCAAGGCGTCATACTCCTCATCAAGACCATTGACAATGAACGAGTTGAACTCGGAGTCAGTGAGGGGCTGTCCGATGGAGGCCAACGTGTCGGCAAGGCCCTCGACTTTGTTGTAGAATTCAGTGGCCGTGGAGTCTAGCTTTTGACACTCACCAAGCTGGCGACGAAGCGTGGAGACACAAGCCTGCGACTGTGCCGCAAACGAACGCTCGAGAATGGTCCATGCCTCATGAGACGTCTTGGCGAAGACAACAAGTCCAGCAATAGCCGGAGTGAGCGACCCCTGGATGGAGGAGAGGTTCGCCTGGTCCTGCCCTGTCCAAACACGGTGCGCTGGATTGTAGACCGGGCCGTGCACGCTATCCACCAGCGCAGGGGGACAGGGGAGAGACCCGTCGACATAGCCCAGGAGATAATGACTCCCGAGGAGCGGAAGGACCTGTGCACACCAGAAGATGTAGTTGTCTGATGATAGCTTGATGGTGATGAGATTACCAAAGTGGAAAGGCAGCGGCGGCAGAGAGCCCGCGGGGTAGGCTGCCGGAGGCGTATACGCCGTAGAGGCAGAGACCGCGGGTGCAGCCGCGGGAGCAGACGGTGGGATGGCCGCGGGAACAGGCGGCGAAGTGGCCGGGCCCGATGCGGCAAGGCCAGCCATCAGGGGCGACGGGGGCGCCACTAGCGCGAGGGGCTGGCCACCGCTGGATGGAGCGATCGGGGCCGCGCCGATGGAAACGGGCGACGAGGCACCCGCTGTGGCAGCAACGGTGTGAGCCACAAGCTCATGATGATCAGGCGACGAGGAGAAGAGGGACCCGATGCTCCTCGTCCCGATCGAAGACGTCGAGGCCGCTGCAAGGTCGAGGGGTCGGGAGAGTAAAGCCGCAAGGAAGGCCAGCAGGAAGCTAGCCGTGGAGGAGCCGGAGGCGGCGGGGCCCGACATGGCGGCGGCGGCGCGATCTCAAGGATAGCGGCAGCGCGGCGCGAGCGACAGGGACAGCGGCGACGGGTTCTAGGGTTTTGGCGGAAGCGTGTTGACCTAGGCTAATACCATGCGAGACAATAGATTTGGGGGAACCGGCTCAACCCTCTAGGGGTGGCCTATCTCATATATATAATGAAGGGGTACAACGTTACATCATATGTACATATACATATACAACTACAGAAGCTATACAGTCTAACATCCAGATACCCGAGAAATAGCAAAAAAGATACAAATACACATAGAGTTGTGTAGTGGCAAAGCAACTTGATCGTGTGCGCGCACAACAACCTCCTATGTTTGGCTTTGTGCGGTCGCCGTCTTGGACCAAGAGTCCACCATGGCCCCTGTTCATCGCGGCCAAGGGATAGTGTAGGGGAGAGACCAAAGGCGGCAAGTGGTCAAAGATTGCGATGGATGGCCGTTTGTGATGCACATGATAACATGGAAACACACCGTCCGAGTCTTTCACTAGTCCTTATTACTAGCCTTTTGCCTTTACATACAAAGCCGTTGGTAAAGCGCGCCACACACATGCGTCGGTCGGTGCTCAGTCCAAAAGCGCGGTCTCAACAGAAAGCTCGCGAGCCATCATGATCCAGGCGACCGTCTTCCATCATGGCGAACCGGACCCGTAGGGGACACCGCACTACTGCAAGTCTGTAACGGAACGAGACGAGGCGTGCACGTCTGGTGCGCCAGTGCTGAGGTGAGTACACACGGCCTCACTGCCCGGCGGGCAACGCACTTTCCGTTTCGGTTGTTTTCCCCCGGTCCAGGAAGGCTGCTGCCGCCGCGCGCTCGATAGATCGAGCTGGGAAGACAAGCGAGAGAAAGGCGTGTGGAAACCTTCTGGCCGAGAAGGCGCCGTTCGCGCGTGTTGGCTCGATCGTGTCGTCGAGACTTGTGCTACTACCCTTGTAGGCTTGTACGTACACACAGATGAGATAAGTTTCCGAGAACTGCACTGGTAGGCCAGCACAAACAGGATGAGATAGACATGCAGGTTCCACAGGACTTGCACTTACACGACAATTTTGAACTCACGACACAACATTTCTTCTCTTCTACAGCCGTAGGACTTACACTTACACTTACACGCTTATTATACGTATATATTTCACCCAATCACCCATACGATTCACATTACACGAGCACATCCTATTCTTTTTTTCTTCCGTGCGTGGTAGTAATAGTAATACGGACCTACAGTTCACTTCACATAAACACAGCATACAGGACGCTACGTTTCTTCACAAATAGTATAAGGCCATTGAGCCTGCTAGACACTCAGGCGACAGATGATAGATACCTGGTTTAACGACGAGATCAGGTGTAGGAAGCACGAGCCTGTTATAGTCTCAAGGGAGGGTCCTCGTGGAGATGAGCTCGAACGACATGCCGTTCTCCTCGAGGCGCTTCTGGAGATCCGTGGGGCCGAAGACGGCGCCCGGCGTGTACACCCCGCCCTTCGGCAGATTGGCCCGCTGGCTCAGCAGGACGAGGGCGCACTGGACGAGGACGATCGGGGTGGTGATGTACCCGATCTCTGGCCCTGAAACTCTGGTCACGATCTCCTTGTCTGGCTTGCTCCCACGCTCTGATGCACGGGCCGAGTCGCTGTAGCCACGGCCGATGAACCACATCTTGAACGAGGCGCTGCGGACCTCCTCTTCTGTCGGCCCGGTCTTCCTGAACAGCCCGATGGAGAAGAGCTCAGGGAATTTCAGCAAGAGGGACCTGCCAAAGGAGAAACCCCCTAGGATGCCGATGAAAAGTCCAGTGCACAGCCACAAGAAAAGGCCCAGGATCGAACGGCTGCTGATCTTCACACCGAAATGTGCAGGTTTGATAGAGGACCAGAATTCCTTCCTATGCTCTGCAAATTCTGGGGTTTCGTCCGCACCAGGAAGGCCCTCGGGATGCTCTGTCACTTTTGCTAGGGTTCTCTTCACAACTACTGTGTCAGCAGAAGGTAACTTCATCACCCACAATCCTAGTGCCTTGTCATGCTCAATCAGTGATCCTTTGGGGGGCGGAGGCCCCGGAATCTGCACAAAGGGAGAAGAAACCTTAGCATCAAATGTGATCATTATACAATCAAAAAAATGATTCCATCATAATTTCACCAACTCATCATCGCAAGCATTAGATTCAGGGATTCAAAGGCTATAACAAATGTGGTGGACATTTTCGCTAGGATCTTTATTTCTGACTTACTAATTACTACAAAAAGAATATTGAAGATTCTATATCACAACAAAGATCAGGGCAGCTAGAAATACCAGACCTAAGTAGAACTCAGATTGTGGCATTACCAAAGCCAACTCATTTTGCTTTGTCTTCATAAAGCATTTTCCTTTTGCTTTTGTCAGGGTTACTAAGATGAAAATATCCAACAACCATGACATCTATATCTTGTAACATCATAATGCTCTTTATTTATCAACACATTTTACTCCCTTCAATATACAAGTTAGTCTTTTCTGAATAAAAAATGATTTTATGATAATTACTGCATCATGATCAGGAACATGATCGCCGAGGATGCTGCCATTCAGTTGATTGAAGACAATGCTCAAGCTGAGGATGCTTTATCATAAACTTTAGTAGGTTTAGATAATGAAAGAATGCACCTAGAACAGTGACAGCAGACAAACATACCAAGCAATTCTGTCATCAGGCATAAGCAGGTTTATGATAATCCCCATAGCCCAAATTATTAGGGTCCTTTCCTTTTTTTTTCCTACTCTTTTCATGTTTCAATAAAGTGGAACAGCTAATCCTTTTCACAAATAGATTTACCATTTAATAAGACCTTTGACACTAGGTGCACTTGTCGAGGTATCTCCGCAACAATATTCACCGACAATAAAAGAATGATTCCATCATAATTTCACCAACTCATCATCGCAGGCATTGGATTCAGGGATTCAAGGCTATAACAAATGTGGTGGACATTTTCGCGAGGATCTTCATTCCACGACTTACTAGTTACTACAAAACATTTAAAAATATTGAAGATTCT